TCCAAAGGTCTGACACATTTGTCGCAAGTAAAACACTGGGGGTGCCAGGGTTTACCCATTGCTGTAATTTTATTGCCCTTAAATCCCAACAGAAATTGGTTATATAAGTAATTTATTGGTTAAAAGTAAATGGTCAGGACAAAATATTAATATATATTAATATACAGCACAAAAGGAGTGATTTCTAAGATTAGTTTTTAATGTACAGGGTACATTATACACTTGTACATTGTATTAGCTCTACAACAGTTAGACTTACGTCAGTGATCGGCGTTTTACAACCACTACAGTCTGGATATGACTTCTTTACGAAGTCGTCTAATAAGGGAAGCAATGAATCTAAATCATCGATCGGATAGCTTTTGCGACCGATATCGGTCTCCACCTTAGGCCGGGTAGCTTTTTGGAGAAGGGGTTCGACAGCTGGTGTTACTGTTATGACCGGTTCGTTAATAGCAGCGTTGCACCCCGGGTGCCACGGCTTACCCCTTACCATTACCTTCTCGTCTTTCTGTTACAGTTTTGTTAATATATTGTCGTTTTAATAGAAAAAATCTACAATTAGTCTACAATTAAGTTAATTATGTTTTAATCCAATTTCTATATAATCCAATCCAATCGGTGTTTATATTGTAAAAATTTTGAAATAGACTCACGTCGGTGATAGGTTGCTGACAACCCCCACATTTGGGCGAAAACAGCTTATGGTAGTCGTCCTCACAATAAGGTTTGCCCGCGTGCTCTTTAAATGTCTCCGGTTGTAGAGGTTTCACACAAATGGTGCAAACGAAGCACTCCGGATGCCATGGCTTTCCCATTGCAGTAATTTGACGACCCTTTATGTCATATAAAAATAGGATTAAGTGAATTGTTTTACTTATTGTAAACGACAGTATTTCTCACTTCAGCGATCGGTAGTCCACAACCCGTACACTTGGGATGAAACAGATTCATGTAATCCTTCTCACAATAAGGCATTCCGTTCTTCTCGTAGAAGTTCTTCTCCTCCAGAGGACAGGCACAGGCCGTACACTTGAAGCAGTAGGTGTGCCACATCTTTCCCAATGCATTGATTGCTTTCTGTGATGACATTCCCGATAAAGTAAGTGATATATGAAACTGAAGTGATATATGAGACTCACGTCTTTGATGGGTTCGGTGCAGACGCAACACTTCGGAGAGAAGAGTCGGTGATAGTCTTCCTTACAATAGGGGGAACCCAAGCGCTCAATGAAGTTGTCGACCGTCAGGATCTTCCCGCACTCCAC